TGAACTATTTTAAATCTTAATATATTGAAAACATTAATGAATCAAAACAATCTTCATTAGAACTAATATGTAGAGTGAATTAGATCCACTTTATATGAATTAGATATCTATTGCTGTTAGTAGAACTAATAAAATTAAAAATTCGCTAATCTTCTTATCATCTATTATTATTTTAATTAAATTTTGTCTAGTTTCTAAATAGATTTTAGTTAAATAGTCATATTTATTAAAATCATGATCTTTAATTATTAGTATTTATCTTGATATCGTTTTTAAGATAATCAAGCTTCTATTCCTGTTTGGACAACCATTAAATTCTATATTTGTGAAATTTAATATTAAATGCATTTGATTATCATCAATTCAAAGATATTCTAAATTATTTGAAATTTTTTCTTTTTTTCTGCATTTCAATTATCCCACTAAATATTTATTTATCATCAACATCAATCTTTACACTATTAATATAAGTAAAATTAGTCTTTTCATATAATTAAATGAATTATTTATCATAGCACTTAAACACATTAACATAAATTCAGAATATTTTTTATTGTGCTTTAATTTAATTTAATGTTTCTTTTTTGAGGTTTAGGACAAAATCAATCTTCTTATTACATTTACTTCTGCTTAAAGTTTCCAGTAACTATTCCTTTCAAGTAATTGAGCAAGAATTAGCCATATTCTCATTAAATGATATGAAGAGACTATTTAACTTTCAGTTTAATGTTGTGTCAATTATAAGATCTAAAAGTAAATTTATAATTTGACACAAATTAATCTCGTACACATTGATGCTAAATAGATTACTTAACGAAAGCAATATTTTAATTCTTTTTGTTGGTGTAATTTATCATTAATATGATTTATTTATATTTTATATTCATTTTTATAAAGAACGAACACTATTGTTTCATGAGCATAATCTGAATAGAATAAATTAAAATACGGTTAGACAACTGTGAAAATTGATTAATAGGATATTAGTTATCCTTTTAAAAAAATTAATTTTCAATAGACAATAAGAATATTATACAAAATTTTGTAATTAAATACAGAATAATAAAAAAGCATTATAACATGTGAAAAGGTAATAGATAATTTTAATATTATGCTCATATCATATAGATGCTAATACCAAATATTTAAATAGTTTTTCATTTCATTCTGATAAATACATCATTTATGAAGAGTTGAAATGAATATATAAGAATTCGATGGCTAGATGCTTTTTGTTGTATTACTAATTATTTGATTAAAAAGATTAATTAGTAAGACATGATCTATATAACGAAATTAATCAGGAATAATTTTAATATTTTCTGGTTAAACAATATTTAAAGTACAGACTATATTTTATTGGAAAAAAGAAAAGTCAAATGATTTTTCTTATAATAGACTATTTTAAATAAATGGATAGCAACGGAATATAGTAAATCAAAGTCAAATATTAATGTAAAAAATCGATTCATTTTTTTAACATAATATTTTAGAGAAATTACAATTTTATGAAACTTTTAAGATATCATGAAAAGACATTGTATTTTTTATAAAATAAACCTTCAATAAGAATCTGTTTGGTTAGAGCAAATGTAATGTTAAGGTAAACCCTCTAAAATACATATTAAAAAATAAGAAAAAAACTCTTTATTTTGAAAAATTCGCAATAACAGCACTTGGGATAATGGATCAAAGGAAGTCTTAATTAGAGAGTATTAAGAATTATGAAAATTATAATAAAAAAATTATAAAATATTAAAAAATATTTAAAGTTTATTTAGTGTTTTTTATTATAATTTATATTATAAAACTTCTAGATTTAGGGAAATATTAGATATTAGAGACTTTTCCAATTTGATTTTATTAAAAAAAATATTGAAGGAATCAAAATAAAAAGTTAAAAGTTTCATCTTCTTTTAATTTCTCAAGATTAATAGCAAAATTTCTGTTCTCTGGTAACAAAAAATATTATGGTAATTGTTGAGATGATATTTTAGACAAAAAAATACTAAATGGTCTTTATTAATATACAAATATAATTGATTATTGAATTGTCTCAGAATAAAATTACCATAACAAGAACTGTGCTTTTTGATTTTCTGGAATTAAATCTACTCTCATCTTAAAGGGGCTGCATCTAGTCACATTTATCCAGAACATTATTCACCAAAGATAGTATATTGGATCTCGAATTTAATGAGTGAAAAATTGATAAGAAATAATTGTTATTTTAAATCAATTATTTTTTTGCAGAATTAAAAGTTACTTCCAAGTAAAGAGAGTGTTATTTAATCTTAGATTGTACAATAGTATGATTAAGATTACATAAATTATATGGAGGATTAAAGATTTAATCCTTAAAATAAGAATTGGTTTTGAAAAAAATAAAGGATTCAGATATTAAATATCTTAATCCTCTTTGGTCATATATTGATCTAATTAATTTTAATTGTTGTGAATTATTTAAGATATGTAATCTGTTGATTTAATTATAAGTATTGATAAACTAAAATTAAATTAGAGCATATTGTAATTATTAGAGCATTAAAATCACATGATTTATTGATAAGAAAAAATTAAATAATTATATTTCACATTTTTATGAATTAATTTAGATCCATATTCATTTAATTTTCAAATTAAAGAAAAGATAAAAAATGATAAAAAGCATACTTAAAGAGGGAGGAAGAAATATGGATATAATAATTGTAAATGCTTGAGAATAGAAATAATAATATTATTTAAATATTTCTGACTAATTTTATCAAATCTCTTTAAATCTCAAATGTATCCCTAATATCATAATATTTCCAATCCACCTCCATTTAAACATTAAACTGAAAAATCTTTAGTTTTTTACATTTCTATGATGTTGACAAATAATTCACTTAATATTTTCTTTTGATAAATTCAATAATTAAGGATAATTAGCAATTTTTTTAAGAGGGTTATTTATAACAAAATTTTGGAGACACTTAGATGCTATTCAATTCAATAAATTTTATTTATAATATAAATTAAATGGGGGTATGAAAAAAATAAAGTAAATCAATCTATTTTGGATGAGATTCTATTATACTTAATCTAATTAATCTTATAAGGTATGAATACAATAACAAAGGATGAAAGAATAAGGATTTGATTATACTTATCTTTATAGGATGATTTATGAAATAATCTTAATATTTGTTACCCCCATTATTTTTTTTACAATTTTTATTAATTTAAATAAAAATATTGACATAATCTATATAAATATAAAATTTATGGTAAATTTTGCATTTAAGTAAGAATATTAGTCTAAGTAATTGTGATGCAGAAGAGGTAAAATAACTGAAATTCATTCAAATGTAGGTCAATAAAAAAGAATTTTTATTATGTTATAAACAATTATTTATGTGAAACAAGCAACCTTAATTATCGAAAATGTTAAGACGATTAGATGATATTCTATACTTTCTTATTTATTATGATGATTTTTATTATTATTTTTTTAATTCTATTCTGCATATTAATCGATCTATATTTATGTGCTGCCTCATTGAATTACTTTATTAATTTGCAAATAAATTATTGTTTTGTTATTTATAGCCCTTAAATCTTAAAATGGAATAAATTATATATATTTTATAATTTTAATATAAATAAACATATTTTAATTTTATCATATTTGATATAATACAAAATATAATAATTTAATTATTCTTGATGCAATTAAGACCTTTTTGAATTAATACAACTTATGATTTTAAGAAAAGTAAATACGAAATTACTTTGATGATTAAAATTAGGATCATTTATTCCTTAAAAATAAAAATACAACTAAAAATTACTAAAACCTTTTTATCTTCCCTATTGATGCCATTTAGCAATTATAAACAAAATGAAGATTATAATTTAAATAAATTCTAATTCAATTATTATTACAACTATTTCAAGCATACACGATAATTTAATAAAAATTTTTAATCTATTAGGAGACAAAATTTTAGCGGCCACTCTTAAGAAAAATTCAAATACCTTTTCAATTTCATTAATTTTTAATCATCTCATAAATATAATAATAATTATGAACTTTTTACTGTCTGATCAACTCAATAACAACATGAAAGCCATTTAATGGCATATTTTATTATTTCCTTTGTGTTCAGTTTATTTTTTAAATTTAATTTTAAAAAAGTTATTAAATTTTTTTTATATTGTTATAAGTTGTATATTGAATATTGTACAAATAAGTATCCAAATTTGAAAGATATTTCTAATAAAATCAAATAGAAGAGATTCAATAATCATAAATAAAATGTTGAAACAAATAGGTGAATGCTTAATGATTTCAAATAACTCATTCTTTCATAGTCAAAATAAATTGACAGAATTAATGATCTCCTTCTTGGGGTAGAATCCATATGTCTAAGAGTTTCATCTACTTGCACCTTGACCTTGCTCAATCTGGAGAGACCTGGATCGGTGATTATTTCTATCATATAATTTTCAAAATTAAGGACATAAATGTTAGGTAATATAGTTTATATTCTCCAATTTGTTTCCAAATTGAAAAAAAAATTCTTTTTGATAAATTGCATAACAATCTATTTAGTTTGTTAGCTTTCAGTATAAAATTAGACTCTCTTTCTTTTAGAATTTTCCTCTATACTCTTCTATTTACTTTATGATCTATAAGAAGAGAGGATTTTGGTTATTCTCAATTAGAGAATGATCCATTATTAAAGAGCGGAGAATATTTTTAACCATATTCCTTGCATTTAACCACTTAGAAAATAAGATGTAATGTATAATTCTAAATAGATATAGCCAATAAAATTCATTTTTGCTCTTAAGTATTCGGATTAATTTAAATACTTATTTAAAATAAATTTATATTTCAAATTGTTAGTTACGATTTCAATATTAGGAATTTTCAANTGTTTTGTTATTTATAGCCCTTAAATCTTAAAATGGAATAAATTATATATATTTTATAATTTTATTTATTATAATTTTCACCTGTTTCTTCTTCCATAAGCATTAAATAAAATTTCAAATATTCTTACTAATGGTTATAACATAAGACCATTAAGCAACAAAGATCCAATCAAGTAATCATTGGTATCCAAATTAAATCTCTTAAAATATTTAAAAAATTTTTACTTCTTTTCTCAATATTAATCTTGTTTCGAATACCAAATAAAATCCATAACTTAAAATGACTATTAAACATACAAATTTAGCCCATAAAGGGTAATAATGATATGTTAACATCCAAATAAATATTAAAGGTAGGGATATGCCAAGAATTACAACGGTACCAACTATAAAATATGGAATGATTTTAACCTTGCCAAGAAATATCTCTTTTTTATAAAAATGCATAAAGGATTAATGAAATTATTATTAGATAAGTAATCCCCCAAGTTATCCAAACAGCTATTGGTAAGAGTTTCAATGCCCAAAATATGTTTATGGTTGTAAATGTAAATCCAAAAAATACTATTTAAAAAATAGATACTATGTAATTTACAGGAGCCTATAGTTTACTTTTATTATTTTTACATTTCTTACTAAATCTCCTTTGAAGTATAGTATGAATTACAATATTATTGAAATAAATAAAGAAACATAGAATAACCATGAAGGCTCAATATCGAAAAAACAGTGTTCTACATATGTTTCTTCATCATAAAAACAATAAAAATCTTAAAATTTGAGTAGCCAAGTTGCCATTCTTGTGTAAATTCCAAATCCAAACATCAACAAGTTATAAAGGAACTCAAAAAATAAAATGTTGTATAAATTCTTTAAAAATACAACTCTTATTTAAAGATCCTAAAATATACCTTAATCTAAGAAAATATTAAGTTAAATACCTTAAAATTGATTAATTTTCTAAGTTTTTCCATCTTATGTTTCAAATGACTATAGGTTTAGGTATTATGGCTAATCGTTCTGATTTACCTAATAATTGTTGATGTTATTGTTCATTAATATGAAGTTAATTATAATATTAAGTCATTGCATTTGGTATAAAGGTCTTAAATCATAAAATACAGAGTATAAAAAACCATTCTATATTTTTTTTTAATCAAAATATTTACGTCATTTAATTATTATAAACCTAAATAAGTAACAAATATGACAAGAAAATAATTCTTTTTAATATAAATAAATGTAACTGGAATTCGGTATGTTAGCATGCATAACTTTTATCAAAGAGAATCCTATATGAAATATAAGGTTAAAAGAAGTAAATAGAAAATAATATATCATATACAAAAAAATAACAATATCCATTATGATTACATTCAATTCCATCTAATCCAATTTAAAGGTTATGTAAGCATATTATCTATAGTTGCTTGAGATTTTATAATTATTAAAAGCTCCTAACTTAAATATAAAAATTGAAATGTTAAAGTTATAGTCAAAAAAGAAATTTTTGGCTATTTCAAATTCCTTATTAAATTTTATATTTAATCTTACAACAATTAAATTGAATATATTAATTTAAAAGCTTAGATCTTTTCGCCTAACAAATACATTCACAATTAATTAGGGAAATAAATTGTGAAGGTTTTAGTGATTTTTGACTAATTATTAAATCTCTTAAATTAACGCTAGGAAAATAAATTTCTTGACTATTAATTGGCAATATCCTTAATTAATCTATGATTGTAACATGATTTCTGCATTTGGATTGGTATCAATTTAATATTAATATCTTTAAATAAATTACACAAAAACATTAGTTAATTATGATTGATTAAAAAGTTGGAATTCATAATGAATATGATAATTATTATTTCAGATGGCTGTTTTTATAAAATTTAAAGATGGAAAATAATTAATCTTATGATTCTGAATATAAAATCTGATTGATAATGAATTAGTTTATTATAAGAATCATCTAGAATTTGAGTTTAATGAAAACATTATTTAATCTATTATTCAATAAGCAAACAAATCCTAACAAGAACTTATCATTAAAAATAGCTAAAAAATAATTATAATATTAAAATTTACAATAAATTATATTTTGTTTATAAATACCTATTATTTCAAGGTTTTTGCAATCATATAAATCTAATGAAGATGACTTTAAAATACTATATGCTGCAAAATAGATTAATATACATTTTTAGAATAAATTTTATAAACTTTTTACGTGATCACATTTAAGTTCAATTGCACATGCTCAGAAAAAGATGATTTAAATTCTTGAATTTATGAATGTTTTTTGTGAGAAATATTTATATAGTCAAATTAATGAATATTATTTTCTTTTTAGTTTATCCAATTCTTTCTATTTTTGCAAGTATTATTGAATCCACCATTATTCTGCAGATTTCTATCATAACATTTTCTAATGTTAAATGAAGTTTCCATCCTCATTAATATTATGACATTATCATCAATCTTCTAAATATTATAAAAAATGGAACATTATAAATACATTATATATCCAAATAAAGCAAATTCATTTTTAAATTACTTAACTGGAAGTTTAATGCTCAAATTTTCTGTCTTCTCTAGTATTAATCTATAAATGATATCCACATTAATAACTAGACTAATTACTCTTAAAGATGATGAAACTTTCTACGAATTACAGGAAACCAATAATAAATAGTTACTTATATATGATGAATAGTCTTAACATTACTTGCTTTTCTCTAAGAGAGTTGCTAAAGATGAAAAATTAAGATTCTTTTATAATGTTTATTCGTTGCTTAAGTATCTAAAAGATGGCATTTATTCATATAAATATTGACATAATTAATCAAATTATGTTTATTTGCTATTACAATAGCTAGAATATATAGTTATTCCAACAAGCAATATCCATATTGAACTTAAAACTTGCATTTCTAATGATATTTCTAAACATTCAGCGTTAGTTTATGCCGTAAATATATAGCAATATAAAATTATTATTTATTTATTTATATAATTGCAATAGTATCAAAAATCTTAACAAGTTTTTTGTAATATTATTATATGTGAATTTAGATGTGAATTCATCATAATCTTCGGGTGCTATGGAAAGAATCCTTTATTTGAAAAATGATATCTTCATTCTTATTAATGCATTTTAGTTATTTATCATCTATTTTACAATTTCTTTTTCTGATGAACTGATAACAACCAGCCTACTTTGGTTCACAATTATCGTACTAGAAGAAGAAACAACTGTGCATTTAGGATTCCATGCAAAACACTTTTAATGAATACCATACAAATTATTTGGATAAAATGAGCAAAATGGAATCATCATGATGTTTGGATCTTTAAACATGATAATTAAAAATAAAATTATTAAACTAATTGTTACATTCAATATAATTAGTGTATTTAATTTAGGAGCATCTGGAGATACTATTTCCAATGAATAAATTATTAATCTTTATGCTCATACAATCAGAATCAATCAAACAACACTTTATTCATCTTATAGATTGAATTAATACTGTTATTTATTTATCTATCATTTTATTATAAATAGTTTTCCATTTTGAAGATGTAACTCTTGCTATCCTATAATAAAAGAATAAGAAAGCAAGAAAATAATTAATACTCTTTAGTCTATTTATTTAGAGCCCTTAATATCAAAAATTGAATTAATGAACACTTTCCTTATTTTATTAAAGTTTTTAGAAGTTATTAAAATAATTCTTTCAATTTTGTTGAGTTATCCAAATATTTATACAATTTAATACTTTCATAAATTATTTATTATTAAGAAAATCATTTTAAACAATTTTAATTACTTTTTAAATTCCACTATAAAATATGCTTGAAAATTATTATAATTTATCACCTATATTAAATAATTATGAAATTTTAGAATTATTTATTAAATACCTTTTCATTTATTGTTTTTGCACTTGAAAATTTATTTGAATTAATATCATTCAAATGTATTATTTAATTTTTAAACATTATAATAATCAAATAAAACATTTACATTTCCTCTTATTTCCTTAGAAGCTTGCTTTGTTACCAGCAGATATCTCCCCAAATCTCCATTATTATTCAAATTTGCTCTTTCATAAATTTTGAATAGAAGTACATTTTGTCTTTGACTTAAATTTTTTTCAAACCACGTATTCATCTACAATTGAACAATTTATCAACAGAAGTTTTTAAGTTATTTATCCTTTTCGGTTAAGGAGGTCTTAAAAATTAATATTTTTTACATCATCTTTATTAAATGAAATAATCTCATTTCATCAAATCCTTACTCCTTTGACATTATTGTTTATATTATTATTTTATTCTCATATTATCAAAATTGAAAAATCTTCTAGAAA